CTCAAACTTGTGATCATCCTGCCTCAGCTTCCCAGAGGGGTGGGATTACAGGTGTGAGGCACCATGCTGGGCTGGAACCTCCTCTTATTAAGGGAGGAATAACATTTGGTTTGTGTGGCAAACTTCTTCAGTTACTAGATATTCTAGCTGGCTAATGATAGCTGAGATTGGAAATCAGGGTATCCACATAAAAATCTGCGTGGATTTGGTGATGGTGGTGGACTTGATCTCATATGAATCAGGCTCTGGGTCTGTGGTGTGCAGTGAGCCTGAAATACCAGCTCAGTCTGAGAGGTTCAGCTGCCAAAGGGAGCTTCAGAATCCACAGAGTGAGACGTGGGGTGGAGCATGGAGTATAAGTTATGCCCCTGAATTAGTTTCGGTATTTGGGCTGCCTTTTATGTGATGTTTTCAGTCACAGACATTCGTGGTTTAACAACCATGTTACAGTCCCCCATAGGTCATTAATTGAATTGGTCATTAAAGGAGGAATTGGGTATAACAGTTATAGTGCAATATTCGGAACAAAGAAATGGTCAAAGGAAACTCCACCCTGATCACTTTGTTTTTATTTAACTCTTACGTGCAGTGCTGTAGTGTATAACAGAACACAAAACTATACTACTGTGTACAGTATCTAGTACTGCATAGTATTACCTACAGTATAATACATAGTATTACATACAGTATTGTGTTATATATAGTACTATATACAGCATATACTATATAATACTGTATACAATATAGACCATATGATACTGTATTAGTACTATATAGTATTGTGTATATTTTTATATACAATGTAGTATATAGTACTGTATACAGAATTATATACAGTACATTGTATAGTACTATATACACTATAATTGGCAAAAATTGCAGTATGTATGAACAAGGTGAGCTGTACCAAAAAAGACATTGAGGCTCTATAAATAAGACATGCAGAACTGTACCAAAAAAAAAAATGCGTCTTAATTCTGAGTGGGGTGGGGGTCCTAGGTCTGAGCAGCGTGCCTCAGTAGCAAGTCCGGACGGTCATTAAACATGTAGGTCATTAAATGAGCAATAGCTGTACCTTAGAAAGGTCCTTAACTGAGGTACATAAATGAGCATCACAGTTAGCGTGAACATGATCCCTGATCGAATGAAGCTCTTTGAAGTGGCTGTAACAAAGCGTTTGAAATAGCAGTACCTTTCCCTCTGTTAGGACAGTTTCCTTAGCCAGTGTTGTGAGGCATATTTAACTTCAAAGTAACCTCAGAGTATAGAATGATTCTATAACAGAGAATTTAATTGCTACACTGTGGGTGAAATCCTAGATACGACCAGTTGGTTTGTTTTTTTCTTTTTTGGGGGAGCAGGTTTGATTTTTCTTTTATGTTGACATGTGTTATTTTATATGTATTAGAATTGAGTATAAATATTGTTAGTAACAGCCTAGCAGAATTTAAGAAATATGTAGAGCTGTGTTGTCCATCATCAGGATTAGGCTTATTTTAGGAAACACAATTACTGGTAGTCTTGCATTTTCAGGTGTTTAATGGATTAACATAAAAAGGTAATTTAAAAGAAACATCATCCTTTACCTTGGGTTACTTTTATTTTGCTTATGTAGCTATCAAATTTAGTGTCTGATTTTAGATTCGACACAAGCACTATTTTAAAGTAGAAAATATAAATATTAAAATGAGCTATGACATTAACAAGAAATCATTTAATAACTGATAATGACTTGCCTACATGGTAGTGTATCCTATACTTAATACTGTACTTTAATATTTATTTATTTATTTATTTTGTCTTTTTGAGACAGGGTCTCACTGTGCAGTTCAGGCTGGCCTTGAGCTCACTGTAGCCCAGGCTGGCCTCGAGCTTGCAATGGTCCTCCTGCCTCAGCCTCCTGCCTCAGCCTCCCAAGTGCTGGGATTAGAGGCATGCGCCACCATAGCTATTTTATCTATTTGATAGTAAAGTTAGTCCCAATGATTTCTAAAGATCACCTGCCTTGTAGATAGTTATTTTTCTCCTTTGAATGTCATAATTTGTAAATTCTAGGAGCTAATGCATGTATTTGAATATTAGATATTTAAATTACATTGTCAAAAGAGTACCTCACCATAGCTTGTTGTTTTGTTTGTTTCTTTTCCTGCTGGTTTGCTACCAGAATTATTCTTCATAGGCTTTATCTTCATGGGATTCTTCTTTTACATACTGATTACAAGACTGACACTTCTTAAGTATGACGGTAAGTGAAAGTGGTAATTTGTGTACTGAAAAAGCATGTGGTTGTACCTGCGTTCCACCTGAGTGTGACTTCCTGTGTACTGTGTGTGACATGCCGTGACGTGTATGAAATAACAGCCCACTGTTCCTGGAGCTGGGTTCTTGGGCCCAAAAATAACAGAGGTGAAACCAGAGCCCGAGGAAGGCAGGCACAGGCGTGGCTTTTACGTGACTTCTGCTGCAGCAAGAGGGGAGACACAGCTCCGACAAAGAGAAAGCCAGGCTGGCAGCCCCACAAAGAAGAAGGGGCGGCTAGTGTTAAAAAAAAAAAAAAAAAAAAAAAAAAACAGGGGCTGGGGATTTAGCTCAGTGGCAAAAGCGCCTGCCTGGCAAGTGCAAGGTCATGAGTTCGGTTCCCGGTACGGGGGGGGAAAAAAAAACCAAAAACAAACAAACAAACAAAAAACACCCCAGAAGTTCCTATCTTGATCCTTCATGTAAATCAGGGATTCAAGCTCGCACAGTACCCTGTCCCGACAGTGTCTGAGCTCGGTAGTCGGCTCTGACTAGAAAGGTGAGGCAGGTTGCAGGAGGCCGGTCCTTGTCCGCATATGTGTTCGGAGAACGTGTAATTGTATTGTTAACTCCAGGGCTGTGCGTATGTCCTGGGGCCCCCATGTATGTCCTTGTTGGATTCTGCTGTGAAAGCACAAAATGGGCACAATGATGTTGACTCTTGCAGCCCTTTATGAGCGGTTCCTGATTACCTCTCCGCCTGTAGCATCTTCCTATAGTGCATCTTCCCTAAACTGCTCATTCGGCCTTCCTATCTGGGCTTTGAATCTGCCTGGGAGATTCCTTACTACTTAGGGAAATGAAAGGTCATGTTGACTATAAACTTGTGGTCCAGCTATGTGATATATTGAAGATATGAAGGGTACAACAATAAAAATGTTAAATATCCTTTATCTTAAAACAAACACCCAGCTGGGCGTGGGGCTACAGGCCTGTAATCCCAGCACTCTGGGAGGCTGAGACAGAGTTCAAGCCCAGCCTGGCCAACTTAGTGACTTAGCAAGACCCTGTCACAAAAATAAACAAACAAATAAATAAAGTGAAATGAAAATAAAAGGGCTAGGGGTGTAGCTCAGTGTGCAGGCCCTGAGTTCAATCCCCATTATTAAGAACAAAACAAAAATACGCCCCTTCCCTTGTCCCATCACTTTTTATTTATTTGTTTATTTTGCACCGGGAATTGAACTCAGGACCTTGCGCTTGCCAAGCAAGGCGCTGTGCCGCTGAGCTACGTCCCTGGCTGTCCCATCACATTTAACAGCGTGCTTGGCTCCCTTGTCCTCGGTCCTAATGTACGTGTCATCTCCCTTTGTACAGTTCGCCTGATCCTGACAGCCGCAGTGGGCAGCGTTGGCGGAGCTTCCCTGGTGGCCATCTGGTGGCGATTTGGGGCCCTCGGGCTGTGCGTGCTGTGTGCGGGGCTTGTCCTGGGCTTCCTCGTCTCCGCGGCGGCTTTCTTCACTCCTCTGGGTGGGTGATGTGTACCTGACTTTCTGTGTGCTGGTTCCTTATTTGGAAGATTTTATCTGCACTCTGGAGTCTCAAATACTGCCCTGTCAGGAGGTGGGTTGTGAATCTCCACCTTCTGAAGAGTTAAAGAAATTGGCACTTTAGAGAGGCCAAACAATAAGAATCCCCCCCACACACACACACCTTCCCCGACCCCCTTTCTCAAAGGCATGCTGTGCTAGGTGTATTGTAGAGCGCTGTCTTCAAACCCCAGTATCCGCAAAACAAAATACAAACCAGGCGTGGTAGCACACGCCTGAAATCCCAGCACTCTGGAGGCTGAGGCAGGAGGATCATTGCAAGTTCAAGACCAGCCTACACTACAAAATGAGCTCAAGGGCAGCCTGACCCTGTCTCAAAAAGACCAAAAAATACCCCCAACAAGCTAAAATAGAGATTGGAAGCCCTGCCCTAAGTGTACTTAGTCAAATACTGCTTAATTGGCCCCCTCCTTTTTGATAGAGCTTAGAGGATGGAGGGATGATAGGATGGATTTGGATTTCTTGTAATTAATAT